GTCAGAAGTTCAAAATGATGAATGGTATGTTACTACGAAAATCGAGAAGCAGAACACGAAGCTCAAAGTGGACAGTGGTTCGCAGGTGAACATTGTCAATCTTAATCAATTCAAGAAGATTAAGCCCCAACCAAGTCTGAAAGAATCAAGTCATAAATTAATCAGTTACACTGGAAACAATCTTGCTGTGTTAGGAACTACAGAACTATGTGTAGAATCAGAGACAAATCAATCTAGAAACTTAACTTTCTATGTGGTAGACACAAATCAACCAGGTCTTTTGGGACTCAAAGCAGCTCAGGAACTCGGGTTGATAAAAATCGTGGGAAATACCAGAGCAGACTCAACGGCCAAGAAACCACCAGCACATCTCAAAGAAGAAGTATTCAAGAAACATCAGAAAACTTCACTGGTTTGGGTCGTTTAGAGAGAGAGTACCACATCGAAGTTGATCCAACAGTGACACCGGTCATTAATCCTTCTAGAACTATTCCAGCTGCTCTTCGCAGTAGAGTGAAAGAGGAACTTGATGATATGGAAAGGAAAAACTTAAGAGCGAGTCTCTACAAAAATCAAACATACCGCGGCAAGGCTCAAAATTTTAAATTCGCTCTACTTTTGAATTTAAGTTAACTATGACAAAGTATGAAACGTCATATGGTTAGTTTTTAAAAATACTCTTTTGTTTATGAAAAAAAGGCAAAAAAAATCGAAAAATGGCCGAAATTGCGTATGTTTACTTAATCCTGGTATCCAAACCCTAAATCCAAATAGCCTTATTATACTTTCTGCTAAAGATACATCACTCCCTCGTTTATTAAAAGTGGTTTTACGATAATTGAACAACTGAACACATTTGTGCACAATAAAGAGCGACGGGTACTGATCTTTATTGTTTGTCATTGCGTGTAAAAAATGACAGATTCCTCCATTTGCCATCCTTTCAAATCTTATGAGATTTTGCACAAGCACTATTGGAAAACGGCTCTTTTCAGAAATGTATAAGTTGTTTTGGGCAAATAAATTCACGCGCTACGAGAAAGAGTTAACTTTGGTTCATTAAATATGCAAAAATCACTGTTTGGCAATTGACCATTAATTTTGCGCAATAGACTAAATTTTGATCTCAACAAGTCTAGACAAAAATTTCATCACAGCTCGAAAGAGCATCACAAAATTAGTAATATTCCAAAATTTCGTTGCGAAATGTTGTAAAATGCGGATAATATAGCCTTGCGAAATTTGTAATTTTCAGTCATTTTAGATTACAAACGGGAAATTGACAGGCTGTCAATTTCCCGTTTGTAATCTAAAATGACTGAAAATTGCAAACTTCGCAGGGCTATATTATCCGAATTTTACAACATTTCGCAACGAAATTTTGGAATATTACTAATTTTGTGATGCTCTTTCAAGCTGTGATGAAATTTTTGTTTAGATAAAAATTTAGTCTATTACGCGAATGGTCCGATTGCATGACTAAAAACCCCTTGAAATAAACTCGCTTAAAACATCATTGTTCTTCGCCTTTAGTTTAGAGAATTTGAAGAAAACATAAATATACATACCTTGAATGAAAAAATTTTCTTTGAGCTGTTCCACTTTTGTAGTTTATACCAGGAATTTAATATTGTCGACCGTTCGGTTGTTTACATCTCCGCCTTATACATCGACTCAAAGTTCTTGGAATCCAATCTATCAGAAATCAGCTAACAATTCACACAACTTCCATTCGTGTTCCATTTACAATTATTAATATTCTTAGAAACAAAGAGTCAAAATTAATGTTGCAGAAATTCTATTTTATTTTTATACTGACATATCGAAAAAGCTAAATGTTTACATTATAGGTGGCGGGCTTCCTGTCGATTTGGCGGAAGTAATGCCACTGCGATGTATTACTGTAATGTTGTCATTTCTTTTTTAATATTTTTTTTCTATTAAGTGGATTATTGCGAATTGAGGTTTTTTTATTGCTGTAATTTACTTTTATTTACAATTATTAATATTCTTGGAAACAAACAGTCAAAGTTAATATTACAGAAATTCTATTTTATTTTATGCTGACATATTGAAAAA